GCCCGTCATCAGCAGCTGGCAGTCGCTCACACTGTGCTTGCTTAAAGCTGTCTGTTAATGGATGGTTGGACAGCAACTTTTTTCTTTGACTGCTGTAATGGCAACTCAGGACTGAAAAAAAAATTGCTTACAGCTTATGTTTCTTCCTGGGAACAAGAGACTCTGATGTACAATATGGACCAACCTTCAGAATTGTTTTCATTTCCTTTTCCATGATTTTTAATTAAGCATTTTAAATAAGATTAATTTTAACAATTTTTTTTAAAATTGGCGTATGCGTTTGGATGAAGGAGGGTGAGAAAAACCACCTCTGCAGAGGAGATGGCCCCGAGTGGCTGCCATGCTGGATGTCACAGCCCTGCATCTTCTGAAGAGCAGGCTCACTCTGCCTTTCTCATCCCAGTCGGGAAAACACAGCGGTGACAAAGAGGTTCCAAGCTGGCCTCTTCAGCATCCCCTAGACGGTAGGGACGCCTGGCACAGCTCTACAGTTTGGGGCCACTTCACAGGCTGACCATCTGTACACTTTAGAGTTTGGTTTAGAATTTGTCAGGGTTTGTCGCAAACAACTTTATCGGCCTGCAGGTCTCCTGAGGGTTCATCAGGCTTGCCATGACTTAGACTGTGAGGACCGGAAGCTCATTAGTGTCTGGTGACCTGAGACACTGAGCACATGTATAGTTTCTCAGCATGTATTCAGCCTAATCATACACACATGCCATCTTGAGTACAGTGACTTTCATTTTTCTCCTTAATTTTTTACACTCATTTGTGTGACTGCAAACACTTCTACCCACTAAGCCAATTCTCAGATCCTATTTTTAAAAATTAAAACATTCACACACCTATTCTAGGATAATACATAAAAATCATGTAGCGCACCAGCCTTAGTCCATTTTGGGCTGATATAACAGAACATCACAGACTGGGTTACTTATAAAGAACAAAAATCATTTGGCAGGATTCCCAGAATCTTCTTAAAGATAGAGGGAGAGAGCCGGCTTCACAGAGTTGTTCTCTAACCTCTGTATGTACGCCACACTTAGACAATATGCATACACACAATAATTAATAATATTTTTTAAAAAGAATTCATTTGGCTCCTGGCTCTGGAGTCTGGGAAGTGCACGCTTCTCAGGCCGCAGCTGTTTAGGGTCTCCCTGCGGCATTGTAACATGGCTGAAGGACTCATGATGCGTGAGAGCCAACCTACTGCAACAGTGATCATGGGAGTAAACTTGTTAAAAGATCTTGTAAAGGTCCTTTGTAAAAGTCCTTTTAATACTTCTTTTTGTTTATTTTTATTTTTTGAGATAGGGTATCACTCTGTATCCAGGTCTGGACTTAGACTTACTAAGTCACCCAGCTTGGCCTTGAACTCAGAATCTTCCTGCTCCAGCCTCCTGAGGGCTGGGGTTTCAGTTCTGATGCCTCCCTGGACACTGTTCACTAGGCATTAAGTTCCCAGTACGTGGATGCTGGGGGCGAGTTTCAACCACAGGACCGTTTCTATGCCAAGTGTAGCCCTTCGCCACTTCCATGAGGGAGCAGGATGTCTGGATAGAAAGAAGAAAGCAGGGAAGCCAGAGACTAAGGCTTGGGTATGGGGAGACACCGCAGCATGCCCAAGGCAGGTGGGGACTCCCATTGAGCATTTCCGTGAAGGCCCTAAACCTAAATTAAAGGTAGAAACCCAGAAGAGCCTTGGAGGGCATTGTAAACTTCACATGTTGTTTCAGAGGTGAGGAAGAAACATTCTTCCAGACAATTCAGGCTAGGAAAATACAGTCTTTGAAGTAACTCGGGCTTCTTGGCTGTGGCCTGTCACTTTGAAGTTCCTAGCTCACCCTCCTGAGGAAACTGGGAGGCTCCTGGTGGTTGCAGCCAAAGTTCCATGGAACAGAAAGAGCTAAGCAGCCCCTGGCAGGAAGCTAGGCTGAGTCGCTTTGGTCGGTTGGAAACCTGTCAGTGTTCCTCTGAGGGCAGGGCAAGAGGAGTATGGGGTGTGCTTCAGCCTTCCAGCGGGCAGGGGGGGAGTGGGGATGAAGTCATGGATGAACAGGAGGTGGGGGTCACCATGGAGGGTTTCAAATTCACAAAGGCTTTTCTGCTGAGGGGAAGATGAGGGCGCTGGCCTAAGAGAACAGGACTCAGAGATCCTAGCCTTGTGGTTTTAATTACCCAGTTAGTCACTGGTTTACCGTCATCCAACTTTAATAAGCTAGGCCTGTGAGAGGAAAAAGAATTACCCAAGTTTATTTGTGTTTTGCCACCCTGGACTGCGGAGCAGCCCGAGGTAGGATCCTCCAGGCCACCAGACCTGAACAGGGGTGGGTTAGGGACCCTGGATGGCCTATCTTTTTTATCTTTGGAACTGTAGTCTTGAGCGCGTGGCCCCAGGCACTAGCCCATCCAGTTAAGCTGGAAAAATTTGAGAGTCAATTGTTTATAAACTGTTCAGGCAAAGACTTCAGAGCATAGAGCCTCGGAAGGCAGAATTCAAATCTTCAAGCCCTGAAGGAGGATGGTTTGGGTGGGGGGCTGGGACCCTGATTGCCCCCAGATTGCTCATCTAGTTTTACTCAAGGAGCAACAGGGTCTCCATGGCCCCTGAAGCCCTGTCACTGCCTGGGGAGGAATGCGTGCGCCTGGCTGGCACCCTCTAGGGTAGAAATCGACAGGGTTTTGTACCCCCGACCTTGGAGTAAAGCCTGTGTTCTGTGCGCCGCTTCAGCTTCCACGTTGAGAAACCTGATCCTCCGGACTGGAACACTCCACCCCTTTGGCTTTTCACAACAGGGGCGCCTGCTCCAGGGCTGGTTCAGCTCTGCTCAGTCTCCTGGCTTCAGCTTCCCTCCTGAGCACCTGATGGCTCTTGGTTCACTGCTGTTATATCTGTCTGGGCTTTTATTTCCACTCTTTTGCTGTTGCTGCCGTGACCCAGCTCCCAGGCAAGACTGTGGACGCCAAGGCTGCCGGGCTAGCCTCCATTCCATCTGTCAGCGTTTGAATACTTTCCTGCACACACAAGGCTCCGGGCTACCTGTGCTATTTTGGTTTCCTTGACCGGTGCAAACCAGAGGCACCGGCCAGGCTTTTTCTTCTGTGAAGCGGCTCACCACCTGCGCATGTCAGGAGCTCACCACACTGGTTTCTCTCTGAGGCCACCTTAGCGGTGACTTCCTGAAGCTCCAGCCAACTTCCTGTTGTCTTCACATTCTGTTCGCCTGGGTTCTTAAGGTGTTTCAGTTCAATCAAGATGCAGGGACAAGCTGGGCCTGGTGGTGCACGCACTTGGAGACTGCAGCCGGGCTAGTTTGGGCTTCATTGGGAGATTCTGTTGTGAAAAAACAAAAACCCAATCAATTAAACAAACAAAAGCGACAGGAAAACAACCCTGCATAGGACTTTTTGACTGACTGCTGGGTCCTGGGTGTCACATTGCACTGGATACACAGGTACCCGAGAGTACTCTGGAGGAGACAGTGTGCTTAAGTCATCGAAGGTGAATTCCACCTAACTGGAGTCCAACCTCCCCCACCGAAAAACCAAACAAACAAAACGCATCAACAACCAAGAATTCCACCAGCAATTAAATGTATGACTCTGTCTATTTATCTCACTCTTTGTGATCCCCAAACAGATTTATATACTAAAGGTTCTGAAGGGTCTTATAGCAATTTCTGTTCTCCTTTTGAAGCCGGGCATGATTCTGACCACAACGCTTTTCATTTGATACCTATTTATAATCTCAAAGACCAAGTTAATGTCTTTTGGATTGTATTTTAGGAAATTATCTAACAGTAGTTTTCAAACTTAGGAGGCACCTGATGCTTTAAGAGTGTTAGGACATAATAGCATTTTGAGTTGTCACAAATCTTACGAAGTGCTATTGGCGTTTAGTGCGTGCGTGCATGTGTGCATGCGTGTGTGTGTGTGTGTGTGTGTGTGTGTGTGTGTGTGTGTTTACACGCATAGGGAGCGGCAATAATAAACTTCCTGCAGGGCAGCCTGGTGTTAAGCCAAGTCCCAAATGCCACTTCATTCCGTGTTACACTGGGGAGCAGGATTAGATGTGTAATGTGTACGGTGTTTTGAAGGTCTCTGTGATTCCGACACCCCTTGCTGTCCTCTGGGACCCCCTCCTCGCTTTTTGTTAGGTGCTGGCAAGGACCTTTGAGTCCCGTCCTGTTCTGCCTCCACCCTCCCTTCTCCAGTTCCTGGAGAGGGTCCAATTTCGGTTTTTGTGGGTCTGAGCCCATTTGGAGTTGGCAGAAGCAACCAAAGGGCTTCGGTCTGTGGCTTCATCTATTCTGGAGGAGAAAAAAAAAAAAGGGTACGGTTCAGTTGGTCCTTGGGGAAGGCTGGGGACGCTATTTTATTATTTTAAAAAACAACATTAGCCTCTCAGAGTGGAAAGGAAGAACCCGTGGCTGTAGCCTTAGAGAAAGCACCTGGTACCTCGCCAAGGTCGGGAGACTGGAGGAAAATCGTGAGAACAGAATGGACCTCCCCATCTTCCCAGAGTAAGGCGACAGCAGCGGGGAGGCCCCCAACACATTGAATTTGCAGCTCAGAATCACTTAACTCGTGTCAAAACAGAGAAGGCCCATGGCAACTGGCAAATGTGCCCAAAGAGGCAGCCTGTGTTTTATGAAAACAAAGGGGTGGCTCCCGGGCCAGTGGCTGGGGGTGGACCTCAGGCCAGGAGCCCGAGAGAAGCTCGCTGCCGGCCCGGAGCCCTAGCACAGCCCGGCTGTCCAAGGAGCCTAGCAGCTGCAGGGTCTCCGTGGGCCACAGGTGCAGTGTGGCTTTAGACCCTGGAGCAGGGTGCTGGGGAGGAGATGTGCAGTCGACCTGCCTGCCTCTGGGTTTTTGCTTTCAACGGAGGAAGTCGACTGCCACGGAGCTCAGGGCTGCCCAGGGATTGTTTGGATGCTTGCCTCTCTTTGCTTCCTTCCCTAGCAGGTCAAGGGAAGCGAAGGCCTTTGAAAATTTTTGAAAGCGATCTTTAGGGCAACATTCTACCAAGTGTGGCGTGCAATAGTCAGATTTTGCAAACCCAGACACCTAGAGAAAGATTTTTAGTTATCTTGGCTAGTTGCCAGGCCAGAAGGCCTGCTGCTTCTCCTGTTTGGGCCTGAGGTCTCTCACAGTCACCTCTCTCTCCCCTTAATAAGTCCCCTATTGAAGCACATTTAAAAACTTTTTTTTTCCAGTATTAAAAGTTCTACCTGGTCCCGGTGGTGCACACCTGTAATCCCATCACGTGGGAGACTGAAGCAGGACAGTCTTGATATGAGTCCGAGGCTACCCTGGAGTCACAGAGAAACACTTCCAAAACCACCAAAACAAAAAGCCTCAAGAATTGTAAATACTTAAAGGAAAGTGGAAAAGGCCCTCTCTGTATTGAACGTTACCGCCCATCAAGAACATTTGACAGTTTGCCTGGCTCTCCAGTAGAAGGTAACTTTAAATCACTCTCTTATGAACTAGATCTTACATGTTTATCTACAAAATTAGATGACCCTGCATGGAGACGAGGAGTTAGACACACCCCCGGGTGCAGACAGATAAGGAGAGGGGCCATGGCTAGGTTATAAAGGTGGCGAATTTCCGAGATTGCCAGTTTCTTCCTCAGCCTCTGCCTAGCAGTTTCTGTTTCCTACCAGCTGGCCCCACAGATGGACTGGCTTCGCAAGTTCAAGACTGATCAGGACAATCAACTATCTCTTCAAACTGACCGACCCTAAATTATTGGGATAAGACACTTTAAAGGCTTCAAAACCTCCAGACCTCAGAAAGAGACTGGGCTTCCCACCTTCCCGAGTCCTCCCTCGGGTTTTCCAGAGGAACCTTCCTGTGTGTATGCACTGCCCGGTGTCTCCTCACCCCAATAAATGTCTTGCTTCAACTGCTGACTTGGGCTGTGGTGTTTAGGATTTCTCTGCTGCAGCCTGGTGGGTCACAGAGCTCACCTGCTTTTTAATCCTTCAGCTGGCAGAGAAACAAGCCTGACTGAGACCCCAGACTGTTCCACCCCCACCACTGTACCATCCGTCCCCCTCCCCCACATCAGAAGTTTAAAATGCAAATGACTTTTCTGTTCAAAAGAAATGCATATCATGCTTGTCAAGTATGAAAAAAAGAAAAAATAAAAGACCTCCCCAAATATATAACCCCAAAGGTTACAGTTTTGGGACCCCATAGGACTTTAATCATATTTAAAATTTTAACTTTGCAACCTCCTACAGCCCTCCTGTTTGTTCTCTGAGTGCATATTTATACCTCCTTACATTTGGGTCCTTACATGTGGGTCCCATGCTTGTCACCCACAGATTCTCTAGTAAATGAATGATGTGAATCATTGACATAGTCCCCACCTCTTGTCAAGACCTATACATTCCTCCTCTCCATAGACCCCAGCCCTCTACTACAGCAGGCATGCACACTAACCACCTACTGTTGACTCTCTGACACCAGCGAGTTCCTCCAGAGCGTACACGGCAGCAGTAGGACCTAGGAAGATTTACGTCCCACCTTTGCAGCATAAAGGCTCTCTCCACCTCAGAAATAAGCTGGGACTGTCAGGTATGAAAACACAGCATGCCTCTCCAAGAAATCTCTCTCTCTTCTGCATATTTTATTAATATCATATCCATGGTCTGAGACCGGGGCCTAGGCCCTCAGAATGCCTGCCATGTCCTCAGCTCTACTAGGAGCCTCTGCTACCCAACCCCCATACACATCACCCCTAGGCTGAATGAGCTGTGGCTGTGTAGCTGGCTGTTGGAGAGCTCACAGAGGAAGGCTCAGCCTAACCAGCCCACCAAGAGCCCTGCCTTGGCAAATATAACAGGGAGATTCACAGTGAGTATAAGAGAGAGGTGGAGCATTGGTGTTCAGGGGTCAACAACAGATAAATAGAATGGAACAGCCAAGGAGCCCGTGGTGGAGGAAGGAGCTGCTGGGCTGGTTAGGAGACAAAGTGGCTGCATTTATTTATTTAGACAGGATCTTGCTTGTACCCTGGGGAATTCTTCCGCTTTAGCTCCCTGAGTGCTGGAATCACAGACACGTGCCAGTGCAGCTGATGGGCTGGGAATTCAATCCAGGGCCTTGCACAAACAGACAGCACTCTGGTGCTGTCACACCCCCTTGCACAAACAGACCAGACAAGCACTCTGGTGCTGTCACACCCCTTTGCACAGACAGACAGACAGACAGCACTCTGGTGCTATTATACCCCCTTGCACAGACAGCACTCTGGTGCTGCCACACCCCCTTGCACACACAGACAAGCACTCTGGTGCCAGCACACACCCAGCAGTTGCTTTTAAGGGTTCTGTTTGATCTCATTGACTCTGGGTTTCAGAGCTACATTTCGGGCTATCAGGCAACAAGCTCCTGTGACTCTCCACCGGTCACCCTGTGTGGCTCTTTCCCGGTTGCCATGGCACTCCACGTTGATACACGCCTCTTCCTTTATTGCCCAAATATGGTCTCCAAGGGACCACACAGTTCCTGAGAACTGTTTGCATGCCTCTACTTCTTCCAATCAAAAGCTCTTGACTCACCCTCTTACCTTTTCTAATAACTTAATAGTTAAGTAATAATAAGTTAATCATTATATAAATAAATGTATATCACATTGTTGGCAGGAATATAAATTGATATAGTCATTATGGGAAACAATATACAGGTTCTTCCAAAATCTACAACTATAAAGACCATATGATCCAGCAACACCACTCACGGAGGTATATCTTGTGTGGAAAGGCACACCTACACTCCCATGTACACTGAAGTAGTGTGGAACTAACGTAAGTGACCACTGCTTAAGGAAAAAGTGGATCTGGGGGTGTGACTCAGTGGTAGAGCACTTGCGTAAACACGCTCCAGGACCTGAGTTCAGTCCCCAGGACCACAGACCAGAAAAATGAAAAAAATATGGTCTGTCTGTCTATTTACTCCTCAACCAAAAAAGACAAGAAATTTTGTCATATGTGTGGAGTCCGAGAAATGTGGGCCCATTTCCACCTTGTGTGATGTCAGAGAGTTTGGTGGTTACTCAAATTATCGACAGGCAAGCATAGTTGCAGGCCTCAACTCAGGATGTGATTGCTTGGTTCTTTTGACATTAAGGTGGTCAGGATATGCAAATGTACTTCTGCTCCTTTTGTAACTATGAGGTCACCTAGCATAATGTGATCTAGAGCACCTTAGCTACCTAGACAACAGAATGGTAATGATTTGATGTCTCAGAGTGATAAAGCCATTGACTGTGTGAGGTAGCCTTGGTATCGTGTTAATAAAGTCTTTTGCTACCTCCCCCCCCCATTTACGTTGGGTATAAAAGCTGTGGAAAATAAATGTATGCGATTTCAGGATTTCAGTCACTGGATTACCCTCCTGATACTTTCTATGGTTTCTGTCCTCTTATTTTTTTTTATGCGTCTTCATATTCTTTACTTATATTTCTAAAATTCCCACGCCCCTACCCTGGCAAGAAGTATTTTGTCAAGGCTGGTCCTTGACACACACGCTGAGTCGTGGGAGGGAGTAGGGGAACGTGATGGTAAGGGAATGAGGTGCAGAAAGACCAAAGCTGGTTCTCATTGCACCTGGATGCTTTATAGAAGTTGTCTTAGCTGTAGAGAGTAGACAGGGCCTACAAGAGTCTGGGAGGGGTGCAGGGAAAAGGAAGAATGGGGAGGGGAGAGGTTTGGGGGGAGGAAGGATGGGGAGGAGAGGGTGCAGGGAGAGGGAAGGGCGGAGAGGGGAAGGAAGGATGAGGAGGGGAGGGGTACAGGGGAAGGGTGGGGAGCAGTTGGATAATTACTTCTAACATTCTAGAATAGAGCAGTTAACTATGGTTAAATACAATTAATTAAATACTTCAAAATAGATAGGATGATTTTTTAAATTGATTTTATTGAGCTATACATTTTTCTCTACTCCCTTCCCTGCCTCTCCCCTCCCCTTCAGTCCTCTCCCATGGTCCCCATGCTCTCAATTTACTCAGGAGATCTTGTCTTTTTCTCCATGCCCTGTAAATTACATCTATGTATGTCTCTCTTAGGGTCCTCTTTGTTGTCTAGGTTCTCTGGGGTTGTGATTTGTAGGCTGGTTTTCTTTGCTTTATGTTTAAAAAACACTTATGAGTGAGTACATATGATAATTGTCTTTCTGGGTCTGGGTTACCTCACTCAATATGGTGTTTTCTATTTCCATCCATTTGCCTGCAAATTTCAAGATGTCATTTTTTTTTCCTGCTGTGTAGTACTCTATTGTGTAAATATACCACATTTTCCTTATCTATTCTTTGGTCGATGGGGCATTTAGATTGTTTCCAGGTTCTGGCTATGACAAGCAGTGCTGCTATGAACATAGTTGAGCACATGTCCTTGTGGCACAATTGAGCATCCTTTTGATATATACCCAAAAGTGGTATTACTGGGTCTTGAGAAAGGTTGTTTCCTAATTTTCTGAGAAATCGCCATACTGACATCCAAAGGGGCTGTACCAGCTTGCATTCCCACCAGCAATGCAGGAGTGTTCCTTTTTCCCCACAACCTCTCCAGCATAAGTTGTCACCAGTGTTTTTATCTTGGCCATTCTTACAGATGTAAGATGGAATCTCAGAGTTGTTTTGATTTGCATTTCTCTGATGACTAAGGATGTTGAGCATTTCCTTAAGTGTCTGTCTAGGATGATTATTTTAAGGCAGGGTCTCATGCAGTCCAGAGTGACCTGAAACCCATGGTGTAGCAGAGGCTGACCTCAAACTCCCGATTCCCCTAAATCTTGGGATTACAGACCAGACAGGACTGATCATACATGATGATACGGTGCTGGGGACTAAGCCCAGGGCTTCATGCATGCCAAGTAAACATTCTATCCACCGAGCCGCATTCCCAGCCCTTCCTCAAGGACTTTCTAGGAAAAAACACACTTCTTTGGTTAGACCAATTCACAAATGAATGAATGGTTAGATCATTCATTCATTTTTCCCCCCACAAGCACATCACAGATTCTAAGACAAATAAGACAATGTTTAAACTGCAAAGGAGGCTCTCAATCCTGCAAGTGTGGTGAGAGGAGAGAGGGGTTTGTGCAGGGGAGAAGTGTGAGGATGGGTGCTGTGTACATCACTTGGTTGGGGGGATCCTGGGCTGTGCTGTGGGGTGAGAAGGAACTCCATGCTTTGGCTGCCGGCTTCTCTCCTCTGGTTTTCTTAGCTCTGGCCAGGAACCTCATGCAACCAAAGCCATATGTTCAACTTGGAGTAATTAAAGGGCAGCTTCAGCCAAAATTTGGTGCTCCGTCTGATGTTTTTGGTGTTGTAATGCCTTTATTTATCTATTTTTTTTTGCTTTAAATATTTGTTAATGTAAGTTGTTATATTTAACCCTATGGTATATTATATTAGTCTGTAAAATTTAAACATTGAGAGACTTCTGGTTCCAGTTTTTTAAAGTGAGAATTATTTGTGGCCTTTTCCGTGAGAACATCGCTTCACTCCTCTAGGTTGGCCTCAAAGGGTATTCAGTTTTGATTTTAATGGGAGAGGACTGTAAAATTTTGAAGGCTTTCTTCCTTCCTTCCTTCCTTTCTTTCTTTCTTTCTTTCTTTCTTCCCTTCTTTTTTTTTTTTTTTTGATAGATTTTATATAACCTAGATTGGCTTCAGAGTCACTGTTCAGTCAAAGATGACCTTAGACTCCTGGTCCCCTGTCTCTCACATACTATTATACCGCCACACCACATGCTCACAGCGGACGTACCTGGTTTAAGGACACATTAAGAAAGTATAAGAGTATAAGACAGTGTAAAGCACCAATCCTCTTACTGTCATCTTCTCCACCATGTTTCTAATCCTGAGTGTTCTGGCACCCAGGGTAGCAAGACTCTGGGAAG